TCGCCCCGTTCGTCACGAGGGCTTATCTAAACCTGCAATGCTCTAAAATTGTATACATATCTTGGCCCCGACTGTTCTTGACTTACTATTCAAGCAACACATCTCTATAAACAATCCCTAAACTCTAACCACTTTTGCGCTATTTTAAAAATTTTATAATGATTAGCCAGACCCCAGTCATCAGCAAAAACACCACCTGAGGCACGGTCGTAATGGTACACTCCTCCAGTGTACACAAGCAGTAACAAAACTAACAACTTAGCTGTGAGAAACACATGACTCCAGACCGAAGTTAGCTTGAGTTAGCTTGGCGACTGCAAATGAAGCAGAGGAGGATTGCAAAACCACTCCTGGCAAGCTCGCCATTTGTCGTATCGGATGAGTGGTGGCAATTATTGCTGATGAACAAAAGGAGTCTGCTCATACTGAACGTTGATCATAAGGTTTATTCAGATCAGAAGCTTCAGCATGAGTGACAGGTGACATGACACCCGGAGAGCGACGCCTCAGAATGGCTGCTTGCTCTGCCCTCTCCTTAGTTTTCCCCCCTATTTATAAACACTGATGCTCCCTCTTCTGGCCAATCACCAGTCTCCCCTGGGGCGTCACCCTAAAACATTCCCTTTTGATACTACCATAAACAACATTCCTTTCTTCAGGAAAAACATTTAACAAAGACATAATCTTAATACACTACAAGAGCTTCAAGTTCCTTGGTGTCCACATCACCAACGAACTATCATGGTCTAAACACACCAAGACAGTCATGAAGAGGGCACGACAAAGCCTATTCCCCCTCAGGAGACTGAAAAGATTTGGCATGGGTCCTCAGATCCTCAAAAAATTATACAGCTGCACCATCGAGAGCATCCTGACTGGTTGCATCACCGCCTGGTATGGCAACTGCTTGGCCTCCGACCGCAAGGCACTACAGAGGGTAGTGCGTACGGCCCAGTACATCACTGGGGCCAAGCTTCCTGCCATCTAGGATCTCTATACCAGGCGGTGTCAGAGGAAGGCCCTCAAAACTGTCAAAGACTCCAGCCACCCTAGTCATAGACTGGTCTCTCTGCTACCGCACGGCAAGCGGTGCCGGAATGCCAAGTCTAGGTCCAAAAGAGTTCTCAACAGCTTCTACCCCCAAGCCATAAGACTCCTGAACAGATAATCATGGCTACCCGGACTATTTGCACTGCCCCCCCCCCCCCCTGTATTTTTTTACGCTGTTGCTACTCTGTTAATGATTTATGCATAGTCACTTTAACTCTACCCACATGTACATATTACTTCAACTACCTCAACTAGCCGGTGCCCCCGCACATTTACTCTACACCGGTACACCCCGATAATGTGCCCTCCGGTTTTTTTTTTTCCCCCTCTTTTCCCCCCCTTTTTTTGTTTTTAAAAAAACCCCCAACAAAAATTCCCTTTTAATTTTTCCCCTTTTTTT